TTTGCTGTTTTTTTTATTTCTCCATCTACAACTACTTCTGTATATATTGCTGTTCCAAACCAGTTCTTTTTTCTTTTTAGTTTGGCACTAGAAACTAACAGAAAAATAATAATCACTAGTGAATATGTATAGACAAAAAGTGATATTGCCTACTAATCAACCAACAAAAATGAAACTGTACTTCCTGTACAAGTAGAAACTTTTCTCACTGGCAAAATGAAGAAACAGTACAAAAGGGCTACTGATAATGCCCAAAAGCCGTTTGAATTTTTCTGTTTTATTGAGATATAATGTATATACCAATCATCCATTTAAACTGTACAGCGCATAGTTGTAAAAGATTTCCAGAGTTGTGCAAACACCACCCCAGATTTAAAACATTTTTGTTAGCCCAAAAAGAAAGAAACTCATACCATTAAGTAGTAATCCTCCTACTTCCTCCCAACCTCCCTGAATCACATCACTCCCTGCTAGGAAATACTACTCTCTTCTCAGTCTTTACAGATTTGCCTGTTCTGGACATGTTATGCAAATAGCATCACACATGTGGTCTTTAGTGACTGCTCTCTTTCACTTAGCATTATGTTTTCAAGTCTTACCCATTTTGTAGCATACGTCAGTACTTCACTCCCTCCTTGCCCAATATTCCACTACATGGCTGTGCCATATCTTATTTACTGTGCCTAACGAATGCCTCTATAAATATTTGTGAACAAGTTGTTTTTTTTTGAAAAAGTGAACATGTTTTCATTTCCCCTGGGCATATTAGAAGTGGAACTGCTTGCTAACATTGTAACTCTTTGGTGAGTAAATGCCAGATTACTACTTTCAAAATAGCTGTTCCATTTTACAGTCGTAACACAGTATATGAGGTCTGATTGCTCTCTATCTCTACCCACCACTTGAATTTAATTCTAATTTAAATTAATGGTCAAAGGAAAAATAAGTTTTCAGAATCAACATATCTAGTATTACACCTGCCAGGTAGTATTCATCATACAAATGGCATTTTAAAAACTAAATGCATTACCTGAAAAGCTGTTTCTAAAAAACTGTTTTTCAAATAAAAACTTTAAAACCAAAATGTCAACATAGAGGTTAAACATCACCCTTTAAAGAAAATGAATTTTAAATTTAATTACCCAAAACATTATGCTAAACATATCACTTCAAAGTCTATAACTAATAAAATCAATTATGAACATCCTAGGTCTTGAGATGAAGAGGGGAAAGCTTCACGTCACACACACAGTATGTTAAGTACGTGAACACAAACAAGTTATGTAGCTTCCACTCTATTGTGAGAGAGAACAGTCACAAATGTATCACAGAAATACAATGTGCTTAAATACTTCACCAGAGATAGTACCTGAAATACAGTAGTCCACAATATTTGAAGAGTAACAACAGATTCAAAACAAATACTATATTTAAGTACTGGCAACACAGCACAATCACAGAGCTCAATGTTCTATCTGCAGTTTTACTAACAGTGTCTTAGCAAAACTCACATCCTTTGCTGTTTCAAGCTGCTCTAAGTCCAGTACCAATAGACTGATGTAAAAGGCCTAGACTCGTTCTTTCTTAAGAAATCCTCAAACAGTATTTTTCATCCCAAGAAAAAGTGTAATTTTCTTGGTATACACAAATTTTATCCATATACTACAAGAAAACTGGAAAAAGAAGGCACTATAGGATAGTGCTAGGACCACAGGATCCAAGGATCTGAATTCTTATTTTAACTGTTAATTACTAGAAATTTGACTTCGAGGACATCAACTCACCTCTCTGTCTCTCAATCTTGCTACTAGAAATACAGGGAAACAATACTACCTGAGTACTATTACTTTCTGAGCTAACTGCAGGCCCATTGCATACAATTACCTGGCAAAGTGCTCAATAATACTAGAAGATGGCAGGGTAAGGGAAGAGATTTTTCAAAGGATAATTTTTAATCTCAGAAGGAGTTTACAATGCGCTGGCAAAAAAAGTGCATATAAGTAACTGTACTACAATGATTTTTAAGTCAAAAGATATTTCAAATGGGAGTGCTTATTCGTACAAACATATGATACATTTTCAATGTTTTAGGTATCAGTTTTCAGTGGCAAAGGATTAGAAGCCCAAACTTTGCAAGATGCATAAAAAAGGAGAATACTTGAGGGTAAAAAACTGATATATATTTATTATTTTAGGGCATCATATTTTCTAGTATTTCACGCTTAACAGAAAAAATTTAATGAGTATCACTTTCCTATAGTGGTGTGAATTACAAACTTCACTTCATTCTTTTCAAATGTTTCAACTTTTTTGGAACATTCAACATATGTTCAATGAGTTTCCTTTGGTGATATACACAATGCCCTCTATTATATTGTTATATACAAGTAAATATGCAAAAACAGCAAAAAAGGGGGAAGATGTTAATTTTAAAACCTCACTTGCAACCAGGCATGGTGGTGCACACCTGTAATTCTAGCTAGCACTTGGGAGGCTAAGGAAGAAGGATCACTGCAAGTTTGAGGCCAGCCTAGGCCACATGGTGAGTTCTAGGTCAGCCTGAATTACACAGCAAGATGCTGCTTAAAAGCAACAACATGGCAAAAAAACCTCACTTGCAATTACCTCTCTAAAGCAATCTGATAGTAGACTTAGAAACATAGGTAATCTGCATGAAGACAATCATAATGATGGGTATAGAAGACTTAAAAAGAATGACGATATATTCTTGTATTTATAAGTTGTAACACTAAAAAATTTCAGTTCTCCTCAATTTAATACATTTTAAAAAATAAAAACATGAACTTTTGGTTTTGAATGCATGCGCTATGGGCAAAGAAAAAGGAAAGGAGTCTCATTAAAAAAATTAGAGAACAGAGAATAGAGAAGACAGAAATGTGCACAAAGTGAAAACGAATGAGCAACTTCTCCAAATCTTTAAGTACTTTGCAATGAAAATAATGAAGCCCATCTGACAGTGACGCAAGACAGGTAAAGGGAACAGAACACACCAGGTATTACTACACAAGGGTGACATTTCAACTCAACAGGGACAGATCATTCACACCACTAGGACAAAAATACGACACAGGACTTACATTTCTTCTTTTACAAAATGAAATTTAGTAGAAAACACATCAGTTAAAAAATTATAACTGCGAAGAGCCCATGAGTTTTCAACCTCAAGTATGCTTTTTTATATATCTTGCAAAGTTTCTGAACCTAACTGAAAAATCGGAAATCTAAAATATTAGATATACTTGTACACACTACTCAGCTTATGTCCATGGTACACTACAACATATTACATTACAGTAAGTAAACTTCTGTTTGACTTTCTCCTGTTATGATTTTCCTGCTTTCCACCATCACTGTTCTCCTGTTCTCATTCCTTTCTGGTTTTTGTTCTTTTGAAGTGCTGGGGATTCAAATTCAAGGCCTCAGAGATGCTAGGCAAGCACTTCACCATTAAGCTACACCTACAGCCCATTTGTCCTGATTATTATTTTTTTATTCCAGTCAAATACGGGGTAAGAAGAGGAACAAAAATAAGAATGCACATATGAATAATAAAAGCAAATTAGAATTTATAATTGAGCTACTTCAGTTTATAGGCAGTAATCTGCCTAACTACAGTAACAGGTCTTAATAATGATATTATCTGATCATTCTTAAAAATAAAAAGCAACATACAGATCACTGTTACCTAATAAAAGGCATAGCAAGTTAAAGTTCTAAGATTTCAGTTAGTTTCCCATTACTAAAAGTAGGTACTTACTCCCTCTGATTCTCAGTTTCCTCACTGACAAAGAGAAACAGTAGTTTTTTCTACACCAAGTACTATGAAATAAGAACTGTGCATATTATAAGTTGTTTAAATTTTAAAAACTTTAACAAAATAAGAGGGAGGTAAAGGCAAGGGGAAGAAAGGCACTAAAATGTGGTGCATTTAAAACATGTCCAAGGTCAATACTGCCTGAGTGCATTACTCAGGGAATAGGTTTGGGGAATTAGGTATTTAAAAAGCTTCAAGAGAATCAACATTTTAAGTTGTGAAAATCACTTACCAGTTACCTGTAACTGTAACCTTCCACTGTGGTTACTAGTATCAGACCTTGGTGAAGCAGTGGCCATCTCCCAAAATTCAGCTTAAACCTATTAAAAAAAGATAATGTTTCCACCTGTTAGAAAAATATTTTAATTTTCAAGATGATTAAAATTGTTCATCCATATCAACTAAAATCTATACTTACTATCAACCCATATGTTGACAGGTACACAGGGCTCCATTTAAAAAGAAAACTCAGTGTGAGAAATATTACTGAAGAATATGGCCAATAAGTCATATCTGAGTCAATGTGAACAAAATAAATGATAGTACTTGGAATCCAGGATTATATGTTGATCATAAATACATAAATGAATTAATAGATTTATCATATATTTATTATCTGAACCACAGGAGTACTATATGTTGTCCTTTGTTGTTCAAAATTTCAGGTGAGGGCTAGGGATATAGCTCAGTGGCACAGCGCCTGCCTGGCAAGCACAAGGTCCTGAGTTCAATTCCTGGTACCAAAACAAATAAATAAACAAAATAAAATTTCAGTATTTCCTGAGAATAAGAAATTTCTCTTAAATAATCAAAGCATAGTGACAAATTCAGGCATTTAACTATTATACTACTATTCTCCACTGCAGTCTATATTCCAATTTCACTAGCTGTCTCAACAGTATCCTTCATCAAGATTTTTCCAATGCAGTGTCTAGTCTAGATGTAGGTATTAGTTATGTCCCTCATAATGTTGAATGTTTTTTTCTTTACTTTTTTTTCGTCTTTTTGAGACAGGGTTTAGCTACGCAGTTCAGGCTGACCTTGAACTCAAAGCAATCCTCATGCCTCAACCTTCCAAGTGCTGGGATTACTGGCATATGCCACCACATCCAGCTGAATGTTTCTTTTTACAGGTACTTTTCCCTGCAAATTCTGCTCCATACACCCCTGCACCAATTTTTACTTTTTAAATAAAAGACAAAGCAGAGCTTTGTAGGTGCCACTTTATCTTTCTTCCTTATGACTACTGCCAGGCTCTATTTCTACCAGTCCTTATCCTACACTAAAGCAGAACCTTCTCGGCAAAATGAAGAAGTATTAATATACATTAACATTTATTGTTTCCCCTCTATTTGTAGTCTTTTCCACGTAGGTCCTTTCCTCTAATTCAGGAACCCAATACTCATGCTCTCTTCACTTATTTGTAGCTGCATATACTGTATGTTTGAATACATTTGTATTTGTGTAAAAAGCAGTTACATGAGTAACTGACTTATAGGTAACACACACAATGCTGCGACCTTGTTCAAGCCAGTGTTCTCATTCTGCAGATACAAAGCATCCACCTGAAGGTAATCAATCAGCTGTCATGTTCATATGAGAAAAATCAATGAGAATTTAATGTTTTCAATTTCTAGCAATCTAATCTACTAGGTATTTAAAAAGACTATCCTTGAATGCAAACAGGTCTTGGATAAATTGAACCAAATTGACTATTTTTCAAGTTCTGCTATAGTCTCAAAAGTATAAAAAATTATCAAGCCTGCACCACCTCATAAAAACCAACCAGCCAAACAAAAAAGACTTGAAGGGAGTGGAAATAGTAGCAAGAAACGGTGGGCAGCAAACAAAAGTAAGTAATCAAAGGGTTGCCCTGGATATGTGCTGCAAGTTGGTAGCACTGGGATCAGGACATGCAGCACTGGGCTAAAGTAGAGACCAAGAGTGTTCATCAATAGCAGTTTTAATTACAGAAATTCTAAAGTGCGTATTTCATTAAATTACCACAAAATGATCTGAGCAGCAAGAAAGATAAGTGAAGGAACTGCTACAAGTGAATATAAATAAACACCGTATAAAGTAACAATAACAACATCTCCTTATGGTGTTTTCATGTGGAAAGGCAAGACAGAGATAAAGAGGATAGGAGTTAATGAACTAAATTCCCGCACTGCTCAGAAGAGAGCTTATGCTCTGACGGAACCTGAGTATGTACAGTGTATCTAGTGGTGAGGAACCCATGGCATGCATGTTATTGTGTTTTTGTTTTAAGAAAAAAGATGTCAATGTATGAGTTGTTTTTTCTAAGCTAAAACTTCAGTGTTCAGGTTTAATTGCACTGTTGGTACTTCACAATAAATAAGTGGGTTTTGGGTTGCAGTTTGTGCACTCACCTCTAAAAGGTTCACCATCACTGTTTGGGAGATTTTGAAAGTTAGTCAGAAAAGAATAGAAATAAGAGAGTATAATTTCCAAAATACAGAAGAGAGAATAAGAAAATAATCCAAAAAGGCTACAAAGGATGGCAGGTGGGATAATCAAGACCACAAGAAAACATAAGGTAAGAAAGTCAAAACACAAAAATAATCATAAAAAATACACACAGACAAGTTGAAAAGTAAGATAAGAAATACCTACAAAATGAAGATACTGACAGAATGAAAGCAAAACTCAGGGAGAGGACATACCACAGGCAAAGACAAAAAAGTGGCTGAGATCAGTTATAATAACAGACAAAACAGCATATTTAAAAGAACAAAGAAGAATATAGGCTCAGTTCAGTAAGCAGACATAGAATTCTAAATTTGCACGCTCCAAAAAAAGCCTAACTATGCATTCTCTCTTTCCCAACAGGTACCCTTGGCTAAAAGGGGAAAGACCGTCTCCCTCACAGACCCTACCTGCACATGGCAGCACTAATGGAAAAGCATGTACGTCCCAACCAGTCAGCAGAAGTGATAAAACACATGTCCTGGAAGCAGACATTGTAGTCACTTGATAAAGTGGTGACAACAGCATATACAGGGCACCCCCAGTTGACCTCTGTATCCTCTCCACTCTTGTACAGGCTGCTTGGGAATCCAATATTGACCACAGTCATCATCTTAAATGGCCACCTTACACTGCTTTTCTAAGGAATCAGACCTACGGTGTAACAGAAAACCTCACGAAGCAATTCTTCAGAGGGTTATGTATCAGTGCATTTACCACATGAACTCAGCAACCCTGAAAGGCTGGAAGGCTTTGATTATGCTAAGTTTGAGGACACTATGCTCAGTGCCCTCAAAGAAGGATCTCTAAGTAACAGGGTAAGGTGATTGTTCTTTTGGCTGCTGAGATAATAATCAAGATTCCTATAAAAAAAGAGACTGAAGAGCCCATCCTGCCACAAACAGCTTTGATGATTATCCATCCTCATAGAACAGACAATGATAACTTTGAAGACAAATATAATGATTATGGAGACCACAGATATACAGATTACTATCATAAGGGAGACAGCAAAGATTAAACAGGAGTTAAGACTCCAAGAAAAGCATCTGATAGGGGGCATACTATAGAAGCAATGACCACAGAGGATGTACAGACCACTAAGATGGATGGATATAACAGAAGGAACAACTGGGTTTTGGAACTCCAAAGACAATTACTTTCAAGAGGATTATAGGTGTGATGATTGAGGTCTGCCCCAAAGACTCAAACTAAGTTCGAAGTTTCAGACCACTACTAAAGATGATTTCTGCTGACCTCCCAGTCCAGTTGTGCAACTTCGATCTTGAGGGACAAAGCTTGCTGAGTCAGGGACAGAAAAAGAAGGGTAGCTATGCAATGAACAAGAAAAACTGAAGTATTAGCTAGGTAAGCCCTAACTAGAATGATAGCCTTGGGAGACAACCAAACTGGCAAAGTGAAGAAACCCAGAAATTAAATGGCCAAAGACAGGAAGAGAGTCATCTCAGACTGAGACCTCCCTTACTTCTGTAAGAAATCAGATCAGTGAGAAGTCTCTAGGAAAAAAAATCCAAATACTCAGTAAGACAGCACACTCACTCTCTCACTCCTAAGTCCCTAAGCCTCCCAAGCTTATCAGCAGCTAAAGGTACTCAGCTCTCCACCAAAAGAGAATGCCCAGGTAAAGCAAAGCACTGGACTTCCCAACAAAAAAGAATGTGGTGAAGTAAGTGCCAATCCTTCTGCTGGATCTTACACTCAGATTCAGCAGAGCCATCCCGACAAATGGGGGGGAAAGTAGCTCCAGTTCGATCATCTCAGGAAGAATCAGCCAAGTAAGATGGAAATAAACACGGTGTGAGTCCCCCAAAAGGGGAGTGTGGCAACTTCAAGGTGGTCCGGATGGTGGAGGGTATAAATGCCAATGGAAAGGCTGGGCGATTATAGGTGTGTGCAAGACCCTGAGTTTAATCCACATAGGGAGCTCAAGTAAGGGACAACAAAAAATATTTAACACTCCACATCTGCACCTGGCCCAAAGAAACCTGAAGAAAATCCAACCTTCTTGTTCAGTACAGGAACTATGCTTGTGGCTCAATCAGTTAATGGTGAGGGGAAGATTAACCAAAGAACATTTATACCCTGTGCTTTCTCTTAGTCTCCCTCTACTCTGAAAGATACATCATAGCAAATCCACTCTCTAGCCAGTCAAGACAAACTCACCATCTAACGGAGGTGAGAAGCCTCAAAGGACAACAGGAACTATAGAAGGAAAACACAAACTGATCATTGTTTTTTTTTTTTTTTGCAGTACCAGGAATTGAACTCACAACCTTGCCCTTGACAGGCAGGCGCTTATGCCACTGAGCTATATCCCCAGCCCCCAAACTGATCATTGTTATGGGAGATTCTAACACATCCCAACGAATCACAGGTCTGGTGGACAAAGACAAGGCTTAATGAACAATTTAGAAAATAAACTTTCTTCTTAAAGATGTAAAGAAGTATACAAAAGAAAATACACATACTAGATAGTAATGAAAATAACACTGAATTTCAAATAAGGTTGTTCCTTGTCTCTGACCATAATATAATTAAATTAAAACTCAACAAAATGTAAAAATTTTTAAAGTAAATAGAATTTAAAGATATTTCAAGTATTTCGAGGGTCAGAAAAAACTTTAATGAAAATTTTAAAAACGCAAAGAACTGAATGAAAAGAAAAACACGTATAGAAATTTGCGGAATACCAAAAATGCTACACTTAGAGACAAATCTTCAGCCTTAAAAACTTATAGTGAGAAAAGAAAGGTTGTAAACTGATGAATTATAGGTCAATGTGGCTAAATAGAAAAAGAACAATAAGAGAAACCCTAAAATAATGAGAAACTAGTCAAGCAAAAGAAAAATGATAGAAAAAACAACAAAGTCAGAAGCTAGTTTTCAGATAAATAAGAGGGATTATAAAAAACTGGATCCTGCCAGGGTGTGATGGTGCACGCCTGTAATCCCAGCACTCAGGAAGCTGAAGCAGGAGGATCACCGTGAATTCGAGGTCAGTCTGGGCTACAAAGTGAGTTCAAGGCCAGTCTGAACTATATAGCAAAACCCAGTCTCAAAAAGATAAAAAAAAATTTAAGAAAAAATGGGTCCCTATACTGCATCATATATACAACCAACTCAGAACAGACCAAAAAATGGAAATATGAAATTCAACCTTATGATGTAAATATGAAAGAAATTATAGCACCAAACTTGATACATATCTTGAGAGAAGGGAAAAGAGAATTTTGACTGCATACTTGTGGAGAGCTTGTTCATCATACTACCATAAAACAAACTAAACAAAATTTTTAATTACAAAAATCAAGATAAAAAATACCAAAAAAAAGCCACAAACATATTTAGAAAACAAAAAGCTGATTAAAGATTAGAATTTAAACTATTATATGAGAATGCCTACAAATAATAAGACAATTAGGCAACTAGGAAAAAGTTGAACGGGAACTTTGTAGACATGGAAACTTATAAGGCCCACAAATACATGAAAAAAGGCAGGATGTCATTGCCCATCAGAAAATATAACTTCAGATGACAAGATGTAATTTTCAAGTTCATTAAGACTGTAAAAACAATGACCTTTGTTAGGATGTGCGATGACTAATCCTGATTGGGTGGAGAAACACGGAGGAAAGCAGTAAAGCAACTTCTGGGTGTGTCTGTGAGGGTGTTTCCAGAGATGACTGGCAAATGGCACAGTACTGTGTATGGTATTTGCAAGAGAAACAAATTTAATGCTGGACACAGAAGTTTACAAAATTAACTGACAGTATCTGTCTACGGAGTCAAGAGGAGAAAGGTGCAAGAGACCCATCCGCTGGTTCACTAGAGATCTGAAGAGTGCAGCTGAAGGCTGGAGCCCACAGCAATGTTCTGTGCAAGTCCTATCAGGAGGCTGAGGAATCTGCCTTGGAAAGCCCAAGGGCCGGTGCTGGAGCCTAGAGAGACTGCACTGGCAGAAAGGCCCAAGGTCATGCTGAAGGCCAAGAGGTGACGCCCAAGCCCAAGGGGAAGACCCAGAGCTCCTCCAAAGAGATCAGCAGCTATCCCTGGTTAAGAGGAAGACCGGAACTCAGCTCAGAAGGCCCAAAGCCCAAAGCCCCTCTGAAGAAAAGCAGCCTGAACGAAGCTCCTCCAAGTGAGATCAGCTGAAATCCTTTCTTCCCATTCTCCTTTTACACCATCCCAAAGCAAGTGTCCTTCAGTGGGTCTTCTATGCCCAGAACCACGCTGACTCAGCTCAGCTGGGTGGTCCCCGCTCAAGCTGACAATTAGTCAAATAACCACCACACAGAGGAAAGTGAAGGGGAGAGGGATGATGGGACAAAAGTGAACAAAGAAATCTTGGGAGCAGAGGCTGCCACTACACCACCCCTCCACAGGTGCCTCCAGATGAGCAACTCTCTTCCACCCCAGGCCTTTCTAGGAGGATGTGTCTACCTCTCCACAAGCAATGGGGCCAGCTAACCATGCACAGAAACCTCTGTGACAGTCAAAATCAGTCTTTCCTCCTCCTAACTGCTTTTCTCAGGTACTTTGTCACAGTGACAGAAAACTGACACAAGTATCAAATAACAGCAAAAGAAAAAAGAAACAAGAAAAAGTTGCTAGCTCTAATATACTGCTGGTAGGTATTTCAACTGGGAAAATCCTGTTAGGAAACAATCTAACATTATATGTAAAGTTGCATGTTTGCATGCCCTTCAAAGAACAAATATTCTTCATAATACAAAAACTGGAAAACCACTAGAACATCCATTGGTAGAAAACTGATTAGAAAAAGGCAAATTCACACGATGCAGCCTTATACAGCAGTGAGAATGAATAAACTATCACTGGAGGCAACAATATGAATGTATGTTAGAAAGGGGAAATAAAAAGAGAGAAACAGGACTTCTGACCATTAACATTTTCCTCTCAATCAGTCCCACCTCCAAGATTTAATAATGTATACGAAAGTCATCAAGAAAGCTTTCCAAATCCTAATGATAAAGAAAGGACCTCTTTTGGTGGTTACTATAACCTCATCTTTTGTTATGCATTTTCTTTGAAAAATGTCATGATTCTATAATTGAAAAAGATATCCAGAAATGTGGGACACTGTGGATTCTGAGCCTCAAGTAGTAGTATAAAAGTGCAGTGAAGAAGTGCTGTGGTCTAAAAAAGCTACTGAATGATAAAGCTGTCATTCTTAGGAGTATTGAATGAATCTAACAGAAACATGTCTACACATGACAAAGAAACTTGTATATGAAATGCTTCTGCACATCTAGGGCTCTTGACATCTCTGGACTTTCTGTAAGGAGCAGTGCACTAGAGAGCATAACTACACAGTCCAAAATTAAGTCTTCAATTACTTTCCACTAATAAATTTGAATTTACAAGCCAGGGATATAGCTCAGTGGTACAAGCGCCTGCCTGGCAAGCACAAGGTCCTGAGTTTGATTCCCAGTACCAAAAAAATAAATAAATAAATTTGAATTTACGTATTAAGATGTTTCTATGTATTCTTTCCTGCTTGTTTTCCTTGATATATATAAAAAATTGTAAATCAGAGTTTCCTCTACAATTAAATACTATTTAATTGCAAGCTTTAAAATGCAAGCTTTAAAAACTCTACACACAGAAAAATTACAAAACCCAAAACAATTATATCTGTGGCATTAAAAAAGGAGCTGGAAAAATAAATTTAAGATGGCAGTTACTTTGGCAGTTGGGAAAAGATGGGAATATGGTGCTGGGGAAGCATTCACAAGCGTATCTTAAACCACATGGTACTGACCTAGTTTTTGCTTTCAAATGGTTGACTTCAAATGTTTGTGCTTACTACTAACATTAATGTTACATATAATCTGGCATGTTCACGTTATCTATTTTTAGTAACAGAAATGCATAGCAGAAGGTATACATAGAAAAGTGTGAATCACTAATTCATCAAGTGTAATTTCTGTAGTCTATGATGGAAAAGTAAAACTATAGCTTTCCACACAGATGGTGATACTTAGACTTCCAAGAAAAGGATACTTCTTCCTCTGGAAACTAAGTAAGAGACAGAAAAACAGGAGAAGACATTCACTCATTTGGAGGGTGATGGAAAAAAAAAAAACCAAAGGACTTTATCAGTGAATTAGATAATTTTTTTGTTTGTTTTTTGAGACAGAGTCTTGCTGTGTCCTTCAGGCTGGACTTGAACTCACTATGCAGCCCTGACTGGCCTAGAATTCACAGCAATCCTCCTGTCTCAGCCTCCTAAATGTTGGGATTACAGGTTATTTGCCATCACATCTGGCTCAAGGTAGAACAATGATTTCTGAGACTAAAGAGCAAGCCATCAGATTACTTATCTGAGAAGAATTTTTTAAGTTAAAAAACACTATGCAGACTAAGACTCACCGCCAACCAGGTTAACCAGGTAAAGGACTGTTCTTCACTCTATTACACCACACTCCCTCTGTACCCTGATTCCCAGTTCCAATACATTTCTCTCTCTGTTCCAAAGGCACACTTCTATATAAACTAATCGTCAGATTTAACATGTTCCTGCCAGCTTGACCCACTGACGGTTTAGAACCACCTGATACTGAGACAGATTATGGCCTCGCTGTGAACATGCTAAGGACACATACCTCTGGTAACCAGTAACTGCAAATTTTAACTGCAAAACATGACAAAACTTTTCAAAAATGATACCATCTTACCTTTTAAAGGACACCTAACATATAAAAGGGTCAATTTCAACATACAGTTACTACCCACATTTCATTTAGTAACAAGTTGTGTGGTGCTTAGAGTTGAATGTACTGTTGAACAGATATTCCTTAATCTGAGCATTACAACACAATGAGTAGGAAGCTATTATGTCCATCTTAAAAATGAGGAAACCGAGCCCTAAAAGTATTAAGTCTACAGCCAAATTTTTTATAACATACAGTGTTACTATATCTACACAGGTATAATTAACTATCAACATACACTGAGTTTGTTAAGTACATTATTAGTTTTTAAAATGTTAATCACTTACTATGTATCAAGAGCTGTGCTAGATGGGGAATATAAAGATGAGTAACACACGATTCCTTCTTTCAAGGAGCTCATAGTCTGGTGAGGAGACAACCCTATAAACAAAAATAGCTTTCAGTGTGGCAGTTACTAAAATGGATACAAAATGTAAATAGTACACCGGGACACATAATCCAATACACTGGGATTGGAAAGGGGTCACAGAGAGGACAACCTCTGAGTAAATTGCATATTGAAATATAATTCTTCAAAACAGAATAAAGTAGAGAGAAAACATGGAGAATCTGGAGAATTACTAGTGTGGCGGGACAATGGAACAAAAAGGTAAGGAGGTAAGATGAACAGGCAAACAGATCTAAACTGTACAGGCTCCTGTGGAATCGCTTCTATGGTATTCTAAACAAACCACGCACAGTATGGTTTCAGTGATAAGAATTGCATTTTGAAAAAGATAACCTCAGCAGCTATGAGCTTAGATATGAGTAAGCACAGCTAAACAACAGCACTGGTAGATGAAGGAAGTAACAGGACATACGTAAGGTCTCTGACTAGACGATTAAGGCATTGCCGAGGGTTATACAGAAAAAGGAATCTGAACAACTAAAAATTCCCACTTCAGTATCTTGGTGGATTATGGTGCTCTAACCAGGAAAGGGGGAAGAAGAGCAAGTATGTGGTAACAATCTAGTACAAAGTGTTCAAGCTCCAACTCTGAAGTCAAGACTTTGGATTTCACTTCTAGTTCTGCCACGTAAGAGCTGAGATGAAGTTATCTTCTTCTATGGCTCATTCTTTTACATCAGGAGACCAAGGAGAATAAAGCCATCCATCTCATGTCATAATAAGGACTAAATAATAAATAATATAAAACGTAAAATATTTAGTACCGTGACACAAAGTAATCATTTAATGAAGACTAGTTATTGTTTTTAACGTCAGAGGTTAGGAAGTTTCACTTTGGACATGCAGTTCAAAGGGACTCTGTTAATATCCAGGTGTTACAGACAGTGAGGCTGAAGAAACAGGTTTGAGAACACGAGCTGCTTTGGAATCAAAGTTTACGCAAATGGTACTAAATCAATGGAAGATAACAGGCTTGTTCATGAAGGTAGTATTTTGGGATAAATGCTGAGGACAGAAAGGGGGGCTGATCAACTTTTGCTAAGCAATAGTAACACTGTGCTTATCACAAAGCCACAGGGACAACAAACTGCATGATGATATGACTATTTTCCAGTGTCTGGTACACAGGACATGAGCATACAGAAAAACCATAGGATCACCTCAGGTTCAGAAATTTGGAAAATGGGTGCAGCAAAAGAAAGCAAGCCGAAATTATAACAAATTTTACAAAACACTGGCTATTCATCTAATTGAATTTAAGTTATAATCTACATTGATAGATATGGCCAGTTATCTATTGCAATCTTGTCCAGTCTAACCCTAAAAAAAAAAAATGCCACAAGATTATATAGAAGTTCCTTATCATTCAACTGCAAAGAACAGAAGTATACTGAAGTTATAGATCCACCAAAGCCTCACTAATAAGATATATTTTAATTGCTTGCTTACCTCTCAAGATATCATCCTTAAATTAAAAATAAAATTTAAAAAAATCTGATTAGAATAGATCAGATTCATTCTGTACATTATGCAGAGGTAAAACTTTGAAAAAAATAGCAAGTTACTGTCACAAATCCATCTGCCTTGATTAGTTAGTGAACATACTGACTGGCTGCCTAATCTTCATGGTAACGATAAAGTGGTAGAAGACCAAGTTTCTGCTTCAATTGTGAGTCTAATTTTGAAGATAGTATTTACACACAGGAAATAACTCAGTAACAAGATAGGGAAAGTCAGTGCAGTGAATACAGATCCTTAAAGTTTAGAAAGCCCAAATCTGGGCAAAGCTACTGTATCAACTGAACAAAACTTAAAACTTCAATAAACCAAAGACAGAGATGGTTGAACCAACTAGTCACCTCTTCTGAATATATCAAACCGTTAGCAAACATGAAGTATAAAAGTATTTTATAAAAATGTAAACTATGGAATATGGGACTTAATCAATACAGGAATATTACCTCTTTATACATAGAGATCATGTATAAAATGGTCATGATAATACAATTAAGATATATCTTATTAGCGAGGTGTTGGTGGATCTATAACTTCAGTGTACTCCTATTCTTTGCAGTTGAATGATAATGAATTTCTATATAATCTTGTGGCATTTTTAGGGTTAAACTGGACATGATTGGCATATATATACTGCTGGTTGTTTCCATGAACTGATAAAATGGACAGAAGGGTGACCAAACCGTTTTGGTTTCTCCAGAACTGCCTAAGTTTTAGTCTTACTATCATGGGAAACCTCACAGCTCTAGGAAAACTGGGATGTTTGATAATAGCAAATAATGGAATGGCTTAGCAAATAATGGAATGGCTCCACCTGCTTGGATAGCTTTTTTATGTATCTCAGGAAAGAAATTTTTCTGGTAGTGTCCTATCATAATAAAGCGTAATTCTGCTAGTTTCCATTTCTGTGGAACCTACAAATTCAGAAAGAAAAAATTATTTTTTAAAGGACCACTCAACACAAGGAGTCAGGATGGTACCACCAGGACCATACATTGGGAGGCAGGAAGAGGCTGGAGCAAGACTCTCAATACCCAGTGTGTTCCCCAGCCTTCTGTCACTTCTCTCCAAATCACCACCACTGCTGACCTCTGAACACTGATGGTACTTCCAACTTCTTGCACAAGCTTCCTAACACTCAGTCCTACTGTCCTTTTCTACCTGTCATCATCTTCACAGCCTTCTGCGTCCATGCCAACAACTCACAGACCCAGCAGCAAGATGATCTTCATTTCCATGCATTAGTGTAGATGACCTCATCCTGACATGATGGACTCCATCCCACCTACAACCTCTGAACAGCATTCTCTACCACTGCACTCTTTCCTTAGAATCTGTCCATGTACCTCAGGGACTCCAGTCCCTCCAATTCTCCCATCTCCAGTCATGGCGTTGGGGTGGGGGTAATACTATCACTACTTCCCATAGCACAGCACTTCAGTATCAAACTTTCACATACATTCTATCAGGAAAATGAAATTAGTACAACTGATTCCAATTTCACTTTTCATTTCTATTCTCTTTCATAGGGCTTTTATTCCCATGAGCTGCTCTCAACCTATCTTCCAATAATCAGAAGGCTTGGGAAACATTATAAACTGTGCTATGTCCTCAATGTATACTTTTAATTGGTTGAAATACAAGCTAGCTGATTTCTTATTAAGTTTTCTTGTCCATAATGACCTCTTTCTATACATAATACTGATTAATTCACTTAAGCCCAAAACACAAAAATGTGTCCCTCCCTTGATAATATATAAATGCGCTACTGGGTGAAAAAGATTAACACTTCTAAGCTGTACCATTCCAGTGACTTGAAGAGTACTTGTAGTATCTACCAAACAAAGAACAAACTGAGATGGATTTTTTTAAAATAAAAGTTTTCTATTCCAACACTGACCTCTCCCTATAAGTATCACTGATTAATGCAGTTAAACCCCAAACATAGGAAAGTTACTGTTCTAGTAATTTACAACATCACTGGATAAAAAGAATAATATTTCTAATGTGTACCATTCCAGTGACTCCAAGAGTACTCACAGGAACTCAGATAAAGGACAAATAAAGATGGGGACCCAGGTACACCCTGTAATTTCTGACTATAGTATGAGTGTTTATTTCTACCTAAAAAATGCCCATTCAATTACAAGAACTAATACCCTCATCCTTCCATATATCTTGCTGTATTTTCAGAACTATACATGTATTTTAAGGAGAGGATCATAGAAAGTATTATTTCTTATGGGATTTCTTATGTATTTTTAAAGGATTTTAAAGTCAGTATTAATACCCAACTGTTGCTATTCTCTACCGAATATCTGATTTTCAACCAGAGAAGTGAGTATATTAATGTTTCCCAAGCCTTCTGGTTCTGTTTTCACCTCATTTTCATCTATTCTTCTCAGGAACATACATCTGGATCTCTTTTCTCGACGTCTGTTCTTCAAAATTTCTAATTTATATGTACAATGATGTAAGGAAGACTATTCTTACATTAAAATGTACCACACACATCTCAATTTTAATTTTCTGGGCAATCCTGATCCCTCTCTAGATTTCCTTTTTAGTGCCAATGTTAACCATTTCTCAACTGTTCAAATGCCCTGCTCTCAAAATTACTCCATGACCAATTTACCCAAACTATCAGCTACAAAATGAGTACGAACTTCATTCTCCTCAGTTCAGCATTTGCAATGTTATAGTATGTCCCCTGCTGTGGAAGCTGCTGAATTTAACCCTATGCATGTGCTTCCTGAAATTATAGCACAGACTCTTGTAGCTACTGCCAATTCTATTCTTGCAATTCACCTCACTTGCTCCTCACATGAAATTCATCCTATTTACAGATATTCAAGTCTGAAAGCTGGTCAAACTGTTTAACTCAATTTTCTTCTCATTCTATTAATTTTAATGAACCTGATTCTTGATTCTTGGTTTCTTTAAATTCCACCCTGCTTTGTCTTGCATCATAGCAAGGCTCCCCAGAGTACAAAACATAATCACTTGCACCTGTCTAATCCTGGCACTTAAGGAGGCTGAGGCAGGAGGATAGATGGTAGAGTCTTACCTGGGCAACTTAGTGAGATCCTGTCTCAAAATTTTAGAAGAAGGAATGGGGCGAGGATCTAGCTTAGTATGAAAGCACTAGATTTAATCTCCTGTACGGCAAAAAAAAAAAACCAAAAAAAAAAGTAAAAAACCAAATCATAATCAGGACACTATAGCTTGCTTATAAGGGTGCTTCCCTCAATTAATGACAAATAGTTACAATCACCACTCTTTCAAACAAAATGTGCATAATATAAACTGTAAGCCAGGAAAATTTGCAGGGTCTTTTTTTCTATGCACAATGAAAGCGTCCTGCCAAAAAAAATAATAAATAATTCACAGACTTAACACAAGACTAGAAGCTAGGCTGGCAGTAACCATGGCACACCAAAGTACAGGCCGGTCCAGAAGATCAAGTATCAAAGATATTTATATTCTGAGCTGACAGAAGTGTTGGTTTTGCTCTTTTTCAAATCAGAGATTAGCAAATAAAAACAAACAAAAAGCATTTACTACCACAGAGTTCTAAACAACTAATAATGCTGGAAGCTATAAGAAATCTAAGTCACTCAACAATTACTTTCGAAGTCTGATTGGTCCAATTATATTTAGTAGGGTTGGGGGGAGGAAAATTATCATTTGCCAGAGTCTAGTTTGAATATGGATTTGAATTACTACTTCACAACTTTCTTAAAAGCTAGCAGAAGAATAGCGATTATGAGAAGATTCCTCAGCTGGACTGCCAGTTTTGCCGGGTCGAAAACTGGAGCCACTGAATTATATTTGAATTCTGGCAAGCTCCTTTACCTACAGAGCCTCTGTTCTTATACCTATGGGAATTAAAATACAGGTTGAACATCCCATTCCAAAAATTCAGTATGCAAAATGTTCCAAATGCCTGGTGTGGTGGCGCATGCCTATAATCCCAGCACTTGGGAGGCTGAGGTAGGAGGATTCTTGGGAGTCTGAGACCAGCATGGGCCACAAAATAAAATTCAGGCCACAAAGCTAGCCTGAACTGCATACTAAGACCCTGTCTCAAAACAAAACAAAACAAAAAGAACAAAACAAAAAAAACCCAAAATGTTCCAAACTCTGAAACTCAAGACTTGTGGACTCAAATGGAAAATTCCAAACTGACCTCAGGTAACAGATTGCAGTCTGCAGGCACACTAGAAATATCACTGTATACAAAATAACCTCAGAGTATATGGATAAGGTGGATATGAAACCTAAGTGAATTCTGAATTTAGACCTGAGCCCATTCCCCAAGATGCCTTATGTATATGCATATATTTCAAAATTTTAAAACTTCAAAATCCAAAAATAGTTGATATTTAGTATTTTGGAAGAGGGATACCCATTCTGTAGTAACTACCCTATAGAGCTAAAAAATTAAGTGAATTAATATTAACAAAGGATTTTAAAAAATGCCTGGCATAAAATAAATAAATATAATCATTAAGGCTTTGGATAGAAAGTTTAACCTCTATCAAATGCTTTGTTAAATAAACTGGACTGCACTCTTTCCTATACTAGGCCTCAACCGACCGGACCAAACCAAAATGGAGTCACTCATGCTAAGTCCCACATAACCAAACTGAATCTTTAAAGAAGAGGGGAGATTCCAACACAGATCAGATTTTCCCAAATCAGAAGATGTCAGTCTGAGCCTGTTGACTAAACGAATTCTTAAAAAATAGCCAACTTTTTTGCTTACCTTCTTGACCCTTGCAATTTGGTTGCTTCCCTAACCCTCTACTGAAATTACCCTTTTCCCCTGGCCAGATACTGGCCACCTCATACCCATTTTTCCCTCTGATATCTCCATCTTCAGTCACTCAATAAACACTGACCTAAGCCTCTCATTTAATATGTCCAGTAAAAGATACACAATTTACTATGCAGCAAAAAACAACAAACACCCGATCAATAAACAAACTATATTAGGCATTTCTTCTAATAATTTTTCTGAATGAAACTCCTCAGGAGATATGTTCAACATTATGAATACAAACATGTCAGTAAGATATGCTATTTCAGTGAATTTATAATTTTGTAGTGGAAACAGACAAGTACGGTAATTCATCAACTTTAAGCTCAATGACAAGGGGGTGTCCAAAAAGTTTACAGAAACATCTGAAGATTTGGCAGTATGAAGTAAAGAGTTGTCAGAAAAGGATTCTAGGAGAAATAGCTACAGTCGAGACAGTCTGGGAGAATTCCTATCCAGGACCTGCATACATGAATGAAGTGCTTTCAAAACACTTTGGGCTTAAAAGTGAGAAGACTGGTACAAGGGGATATACAGGTAGTTGTGCTCAGAAGAAAGAAATGTGAGAAATGAAACCATCAAGGCAGAAATTTATACCATGAACTAAGGAAGCTATACTAGTGTGACTGAATTATTGGGTTAATGTTTAATTAAATTTTTAAAAGTCATTACAGTAAAAGAAACATTAGCATTAATTCCCCTTAAAATATTTCTCTTCACTTCAAACACACTTATCTTATTGTTCTTGCCACTTTCTGAAGCAGTTCTGGAAGTCCTCAGTATCTTTATAAGATCTGATCAGATGTACAGTGAATAGTGCTACATGCCAACACAAAAGCAGGCTTACAAAAACATTACTGTGCATCTTTACCCATCTTACACACTGGATCTGGCACAATGCAACTTCTGGTTGTTCCCGAAGTCAAAACGACCATGAAGGTAAATGTTTTGAACGTTTCAGATCATCAAGGCAACCAGGACACTCACAAAAGAAGAATGTCTAAGCTTCAGAAGGTGGCAAAAACAATGGGATAAGTGTGTCCCAAGTAAGGCAGAATATTTTGAGAGGGATTAATGGCAATGTGTATTTTACTGCCATAATTTTAAAAAATTTAAACTGTCACTGTGTTCTTGAATCATACCTTGTACAGGGAACAAAAAGAAAACTGTTTACTGTGTAATGTGGGAGTTACCAGGCCCTTAACAAGAAAAAATTTAATGAAGTGGAAGGACAAAAAGACAACAGTTTAGGAAGTAAATGAAAAGGCAGAAACTTTTTAGATATTCTGACTACAAAGGAAAACTTTAACTTTATAAAAAGGTGTTTAGAGGACTGGTTCTGAACATGGAAGAGATCTGAACATGTTACAAGCAGAAAGAAATGAAGGTCATTGATAAAGGGATGATTACTTATGCAAGATTAAAGACTGAGACAAAAACACAGATTTAGATGACTCAGCGCGTATTCTGAGATTACAACAAGACGGTTGTGATGAGAGAAATCTGGCCCTTTCTCAAACTGTTTTGAAAGGAGGCTGTGGAGGTTTTACCTAACAGTTCCACCTCCGCAGTGTAACGGGAGGCACTCCAGGGCAGGAAGACGCAAAAATAAATGAAATTCTCTGTTCTAATGGAGAAGTGGCTAAGGTTAAATGTGGGGCAGATGGGGGAAACCTGGGCTCAGCTGTGAGGCACCAATCCCCCCAGAAACATGCGAATGCTCTTCCTCCCCATGTTAACAGTTTGTGTGTAGAAGCAATAACACTTAGAGCTGTTTAGAGCAGTCTCCAGAAGTTTCCAGCCTTTCTCTACTACTTGATCAAACTCCGTGTTACTTAATGCATTATTTATACACTCTCCCTCACCCCCGTTCATTAAAATTCAGCTAGAGAAAACAAGATATATTCTCCACAAAATTCTTTTACCCAAAGCTCACTATTCCTACATGTTTCTAACCCACTGCCAGCTTCCTCCAAACCTGACTGCACCTCACAATCACCCTAAGTGATGTCGTGGCGGCATACCAAGTGGCTCTCACCGCGGATTTGGGCAGGGCTGACTTCCGACAAGTTACCCAGCTCTTGCCTACTTCATTTAATGACCCCCTGAAGTTAGCTCTGCTATTCTGAGCTAGTTTTATGTGTCTTCACAGCAAAACAACCATGTTTGTTTCTCTATCTCTAATATTACACTGTACTCAGCCCCTAGCCAGGTGGTTAGCCCTTATTAAATGTGCAATAAATGAAGATGCACAATTAATACATCATTAGCCCTATCAAATCACTAGGGTGTAGTTTTTACAAAAGCTCCATAACACAGAAAGAAAAACTGTAATTAAAGTATTATTTTATATTCTACATAGGTAAGATTATAAAGCCACCTACCACCCTCCTCCATCTTAGCCCTGCTAATTCTCAGCTCCAAGTCAAAGGCCACCTCACCGAGGCGATTTCATCTCCACAGTGCAAAACAAATGCTCAGTACAAAAAAGCCCAATAAAAATGCTCATTTGACCTATTACATAAACAGGTACAAGTGTATAAAAAAAGTTCATTAAACTTGGATACTCTTCAAAAGTACCATGCTACTTCCCAAATGATACATCAATGGGCCTTCAAAGATTTGAGAAAAGACTGCTAAAAACATAGCATCAATTTTCCATGGAAACAACATTAAAATTTCTCTGACAGAAACAATGTTACAGTTTTTCCCATATACTAAAATAACGTTACAATGTTACTAATATCTAGTCACCCAAACCTACAGAACCTTTAAGAGGTTCTGTTACCTTATAGGGAAACTACTACTCCACAGACAGATTTCAGAGGTACTTTTGTGCATATATATTATTCCTACAAAATCAAAACAAATTTCCAAAATAAATTGCTGAAACTTTGAAAAAGTACCTTAAGCACTTCTATGGTGTCTGACTCAAAGGAAATAATTACAGCCATTTTTATCTAGACTCAATTTCAGACTTTGGTGTCCTCAAAAGAGCTTTATTTTTCTTTCTGAATACTAGATTAAAATCTAAGAGGGCCAGCACAAATGCTCTCCATTGCATCCACCTTGTCTCTCTCAAAGCCCGGCACATGGGAAGTATTCAGTACATACTTAAGTCAACCAGATCTCAGAAACAACTAAGTAAACAAAGACACTAAAACCAAATGGTCTGATTTATTTTAGATGTTTTTAAAAATTTAGCACAATACATCTCATATTTTTCCTTTAAAATTATCATCAAAATGAAAGAAAATTGTAAAAATTCATGTACAAAATACTCATTCAAGAGTCAACAGTTTAGTAAAGTTTTAGACAAAACAAATATCCCATTAAGTGGTTGAGTAAGACAGGGCATCTAAATTTCCCTAGATCTTAGTTTTCTCATTAAATGAGAAAGAGAGCACAAAACATTACTTTTGTTAAAACTTAGAATCCGTTCCTTCAATATACTGCATATTTCATCCAAAAATAAGTGATCTGTAACTGCAACCAACTGTAAAACTGTTTTCATTTTTATACCATTGTTTGTCTCAAACATTCATATTTTTACAAAGCTGCAATCCTAGATACATTTTATTTTCTAGATATCATTTTATTTTCTACTCCCAACCCCCATATATGGTAAAAACTGACAATTACTAACTTGATGGAATCCTTGGCTAACATTCAGAGAACAATTTAATTTATGCTCACTGTTGTGGAAACGTAACTTTGGCAACAATATTCTAGAAGACCACAAGATGGTGGTGTTGCTCCATCAAAAACGAACCTTTTAAACTACACAATGAAATACATCATACCAACTTCCTCAAAATGAAATATTTTAACTCCATTGCAAGAAAGTTAAAAATTGTGCTTTGTTTTTATTAGTGAGAAAGGGAAGTAATGCACCTATCGAATTTAGCCTTAACGTTTTCAACCTTTAACCTAAACAGCCATCATTCTTTTATTAAAAATAAAATAAAAGCACAAGACTTCAACAAAATTACTGATTGTTTTCCTTGCTCTACTCCCTCGCTCAGCATTTCAATTATACTGATTATATATTCAATAATACAGAACTACATACAAAGTAACTTAAATATATTTTGAACACTGACAAACTTCATTTCTCCTGTGCTTAATTTAAGGAGACAATTCTTTTTCTATCTTAAAAAAACTGATGCT